CAGTTTGGGTCTTACTTGTCCTATTGAGAATCAGGTTGCTCGGGATTATCTGAATATTTTCTCTCGGGAAAATATTTTTGATAATTCCTGGGAGGCTGGATAGATCTATAACTAAAAAGTTTCATAATATGAAAGCTCCAGGTGATGATGGAATTTTCTTTATCCTCATCAAAAAAAACTCCTAGAGAGTACGTAGTCTTTTTTGGTAAAATTATTCAACAGATGTTTCCATTTGGCATACTCTCCTGATAAATGGAAAAATGCAAAGTTGCTCTAATTTTAAAGCCGGATAAAAATCCAGCAGAAGCTTTTAGCCACCGTCCAATAAGTTTGCTTTCTTCAATAAGTAAACTTTTTGAAAGATAGCTTTAAATAAAATGATGCTTCGTATCAATACGAACTCAACTTTTGCAGATGCACAGTTTGGATTTCGCCATGGGCATTCAACTACTCATCAACTCTTAAGAATTACCAATTTAATTCGTTCAAACAAATCTGAAGGCTGCTCAACTAGAGTTGCTCTAGACCTAGAAAAAATCAGTCGACAGTGTTTGGCATAAAGGTTTGATTGCTAAATTAAAAAAGTTTAATTTTCCACTCTATATTATGAAATTAGTTCAGAATTATTATACTGACAGAACTCTGCAGGTAAAGTATCAAAATTACAAAACTGTTATTTGCGTTATTTGCAGTAGACAGCAGAAAGTTTAGATATTTTCTCTTCTTATTTACAAAAATTGAGGGCATTCTTGCCAAATGTATCAAATGAGGGAAATGTATGTAATGTCGGCCTAAGTGTCCCTTATTTGGGCCCATACATAAATTCAGCAATCTACTAAATTTTCAATAGCAACCAAAAATATCCATTAGTACCGTCCCAATGCCGCGTTAATCTAGATAAAATTGTTAAATAGCAGATTTTTAGCGATGGGCCCAATCTTAATCAAAAGATGTATTTAGAATCAGGATTAATAGAATTGGGTTTCTGATTCAAAAACTTATCATCTAATATTCGATCAGGACAAAAGAAAATTTTGAATATATTATTAGAAAAGGACAAAAATCAGGTGACACTAGAAAGATTAGGGCCAAACTTTATTTTAAATTCATCGAATGGGCTAACAATCCCGAAACGCACAAATGGCCGCATTGATGCAGCAATCATTAAACTTATTGATTTTGAGTCTTCATTAGAACAGAAATTCCAGAGAAGCACTCACAACCAGAAAATTAACTATTACACCACAGATAAATGGTTCGATCGTCACAACGATTCATTTAAAGGAAGATATAATTATGAACATAAAAGATACAAATTGGGGTTACCTATATATTTCTAAAGAATGTAGCATATGCATCTTATGAATATCCGTGGTGGTTTTCATCAGGAAAATTTATAGCAGGTGTTATAATTGTTGGAGTGTTAGCATGTTGTTTTAAAGGAAAAATGACATGTTGTGGTAGAAAATATATAATAGATGAAGAAACGACTGTGCAGAAATACAACAATGACAACAATCAAAGAACAGACTATGCCAAAAACAGCCCACTGAATAGAATGATGTCTTGCTATAGTACATACTGTGAATATATTGACATAAAAATGAATAAAAGTACGCTTAAAAAAACTTTCTTCACGAGGTTAGCTGTTATGCAAGTACTTGAAGTAAAATTGTTACAATTACCGTTTAAGTAAAATTGTAAAACGTTCTACACTGATTGACGACAAATAAATAAATAAATAAATATTTGAAAGCACACAGAAGTAAAAAATCGAAAAAAGGAAAAACACAGCAAAGGGTAAAAAGCAAAAAAGTATCAGAATCAAAAATAAAACTACCGGTATAGAAATGAATGAGCTATCGAAAACAATATTCTACGAACATCATGCGATGAAAAAAGATACAAAAGCAGAAATAACAAATGAAATCACATATGAAGATGAATACAATGGGGATAGTAAGAAAAAAAGAGATAAAAAAGTGAGAATTGATGAACTACAAGCATGCAAAGGACAAAATACAGACACAAAGACAGTGCATAAAGGATACACAACAAAAAATGTAAATGAAGCCATACAATCAGAGAACATGGCTGAAATAAAAAGGAACCGTAAAAAGAATACCTCAAATATTTCTATAATGTGAAAGAGACCAATGGAATGACTGGACAAGGGGAGTCGACACCCAGAATGTTGGAATATTATGAATATGAGTTTAGGAATAACTGGATTACAAGAATTACGGAGGTACTACGGCATAAAAACGATAAGTGATTGATTAAAGGAGGAATGTCATTGTGATATTGATACCTACAGCTAATTAATAACGAAAGCATGTGTCCATCAATACGGCAAGCGTAAATACCATTGGATATTGCGCATTGCAAAAACGTTTTGAATGGACCGAAGAGCTGGAAAAACCAGGATAGCTCTGCTATGCCTGTAAAGGGTATCAACGACACACAGATAAAAATAAGAGAGAGATGGATAAAAATACATGCGAAACGATGAATATTAAGGCATAAACCAGTACATTGAAAATACCAGCAGAAAGGAATAAAGGTAGAAAGGTGGAAAGTAACAGAGCATTTTTTTATATGGTACTTAAGTACGGCGTTACACTCCGCTTGAGAGTCTACGATAGATGAATTTATTCTTCAGAGATAAAATCAGATCTAATAGTATATTTGAGTCTAATTACAGAACCCACCGTTAAACCTCAGAAGTGAAAGGGGAGTTTTGCAGCAATTTCAAGACAGGAAAAAAAGTATAGGTGAGTAAAGCATTCGTGACAATCAGACTTGACAAAGACTATGACACAAAGAAAACTAGAGAAAACTTAAAAAAAAATACTAAACATAAATTGCTGCAGGGATAAATACAATTTTTACATAAAAAAAAACAAAAAAACGTTGATTAGCAAACGAACATAAAAGAGATCGAATAGGGAGCTAGGAGATTTTCCGAGAATACCGAGAGATGACAAGATCGGGCAACATCCGCTGGCATGGCATGACATAAGAAGTACCAGCATTCCGCTGAGGTGAAAAACGGGAACGACATTCTATAGGTTACACAAGGGGCACACAAATCATGAAGAAGATCAAAGATCAAAGGTATTGGGCAACATTGGTCAGACGGAAGACAACACGGATGCGGCACGAAGATACAGCGAGACAAAAAGGAAACGGGTCGAAACGAGGGGGAAAGACAATATTCCAAATAAAGGACGAGAGGAAATACAATGAGAAGAGCCAGAAATCACAATTCAAGTTACGTGACATGATGAGGAGACAACGACGATAATTATCAAAAAGTGCGTGAGGTCAAGACGCAACAGCTAGGTACACTGGGTACTGAACAAACGAGCGAGGGTTCATAATCTAAAAAACCCAGGAACGCGAAATTCCAACAAAAAAAAAAAAAACACAAAAATTTCATCTACGGCAGACAATATGAAAACACTACAACAACATTTAACAAGAATCGGCAATCAAACATGAACACGACAGAAAGCCAATTTACAAAACTCAAAACTAGGAATTCAATTAGACTCGTCAAGCGTCTAGTATGATTCCGACATTTCTACAAGCAAATAGAGTCCATCAAATCTCACAAAAATAAAATCCACAACCAAACACATCTAAAGTTTGGTGTGGGATCAATAGTATACACCAGACATCCAAATTGGTGAAATCACACATAAAGACATGCGTAAACGACGATTCAACATTTCATACGTTAATACCAAAGTTGTATCATGCAGCATAAAACAATTATCAACAACACCAAGGCCCAACGGACCCTGGGAACAGCAGGCGAAGACGAATTGCTCAACAGGCGAAATAGAGGAGATAGAAACAGAGTCACCAATAATTTATTTATTTCCATTTCGTCAAGCCAGTGTAGACTACATACAATGATTATTACAATGTTTACTTACATACTATGCATTAATTCTATTCTGTTTTAGCTTAGTGTGTATTTGCTGCTTGGACATAGTGATGTCAATAGTTCCGCAATGCAAATTATATAGGCGCATCATTCGATTGATTGGGCTATTTTTTGCATAGTTTGTTCTGTACGATGTTTCTGAAAATAAATTCCGTGTTCTAAGATATCGAAAAGGTGTGTAAAAATTTAATTGTGCGAGAATTTCTGCCGAATCTATGCGCATTGAAATAATGTCGTTGATGAAGAAAAGCATTGCAAATTGGCGGCGCTCCTTAAGTGTTTGTATATTGATGAGCATGCAGCGCGCTTCATAAGATGGTAATGGAAATGCAGTCCAATTCAATTTACGTAAAGCATATAAAAGGAATTGTTTTTGGACAGATTCTATGCGTTCTTCGTGTATGGAAATGTATGGATTCCATACTAGGTGGCAGTATTCCAGAATTGGCCTTACATATGTGGTATATAAAAGCTTAATAGTGTATGGGTCTTCGAAATTATGACTGAACCTTTTGATGAAGCCTAGCATTCTGTTTGCTTTACTAATGATAGTATTATAATGTTCTATAAAAGTTAGTTTGGAGTCTAGGATTACACCTAGATCTCTTACAATTTTGCTTTTTTCTACTATTTGGTTGCCTAATGATATTTCAATATGCGGTGTTTCAATTTTTCTGCTAAATGCTATTGCAGTACATTTTTTTACGTTCAGTTTAAGTAGACTTTTACTACACCAGGTGTGGAATATATTGATTTCATTCTGGAATTCTTCTGCATCGCTAGAATTACTTATTTCCATAAAGAGCTTCATGTCGTCTGCATATACAAGCAATTTTATTTTTTTAAGTATGTAGGAAATGTCGTTTATGTACAAAATAAAAAGAAGTGGGCCTAAATGAGAACCCTGGGGTACCCCAGAGGTGACTGAAATTGGTTCTGAAAGTTTATTTTGAAAGCGAACTATTTGTTTACGATGTGTTAGGTATGATTGAAGCCAATTCAAAAGTCCAGGCTCCATTCCTATTTTCTGCAATTTGAGGATTAATAATGGTATGTCGATGCGGTCAAATGCTTTACTGAAGTCGGTGTATAGCGCTTCAACGTGCTTGCCACTGTCCAACGCTTTAATAATGAAAGATACATATTCTAGAAGATTAGAGGTAGTTGAGCGACCTTTAAAAAAGCCGTGCTGTTTACTTGTAATTAGATTTTTCACCTGCTGAAAAATATTGCCGTTTACGATTGCTTCAAAAAGTTTTGGAATGCAAGAAATAATAGCAATTCCACGATAATTTCGAATGTCTGATTTTGCACCTGATTTGAAAATAGGTACCAAATAAGATGATTTCCAAATTTCAGGGAATTTTCCATTTTTCAGAGACATGTTGAAAAGACGCTCTAGAGGAAATGCGAGTTCTTCAGAAAGGTTTTTCAAAAATATGGGTGCGATGCCGTCAGGTCCAGACCCATTCGACGCGTTTAAGTTTTTTAGTGCATTGAGGACTTCATGTTGAGAAAGTTGGCTGACAGAGATGTTTTTAGAAATTTCAGGAATGAATGCAAAGAAATCGCGGTCACGATCTTCTTCGGAAAATGTGGTGTATACTTCTTGGAAGAAATTTGCAAAGAGACTGCAAATTTCAGAAGAATTCTCACCTACATTTGCATCCAAATTCATTCGCGAAGGAAAATTGCTGCTTTTTAATTTCGTGTTTACATAATTAAAAAAGTTCTTAGGACATGATTTGACTTCATTTTCGACTTTGCGGTTATAGTCCTCATATGCAGAGTTGGTGGCTGTATTTAATTGGTTGCATAAGTTGTGATAGTTTCGCAAATTGGTTTCAGTTTTTTCTTTTTTGTATAGTTTATGAGCTTTCTGTTTTTTATTCTTCAAATTTTTCAGTTGTGGATTGAACCATGCGGGTAGTTTATTGTTTTGTGTTCGTCTTCTTTTTTTTGATGGTACAGTTTCTAAGATTAGGTTTTGTAGAATTAAGTGAAATTTTTCTACTTCAGTATCGACATTTCCTTCAATACTTATTAAATTTTGCCAATTTATTGTACATAGTCTACGTTTGGCTTCTTCGTAATTTGCTTTATGGTATTCCGGCACTTCCTCGTATTCCCAGTCGCTGGAGGAGGAAGAATTTTGTACGAAGATTGAGTATTCAATTGCTGTGTGAAACACTTCATTTTTCCATAAAGGTGCTAATGATGTATCCACACAGAAGTCTTCAGTACAATTTGTAAATAAAAGGTCTAAATATGAGTTTTGTTGATTTTTTACATGGTTTATTTGATTAAGACCAAAATAAGATATTTTGTCGAATAATAATTGTAATGCTTCGTCTTCACCTACGACCGGGAGTAAAAATGATTCATTTTCAATGTCTGTAATAAAGTCTGCGTTTCGTTGATTGAAGTCGCCATAAATATGCAGTTTTACTTCTGGTTCCATATTTGACATTATAGTTTCAACAATTTGAAAAAATAGTTCAAAAGACTGCTTGTGGGCATGTTTAGGTGGAAAATACACAGAAGAAAAAATGTGTATTTCACCGGCAATAAGTGCTTTGACCCAGACATTTTCGAATTCCTTGTGCTTATTTGTTATGATTTCTTCAGAAGTAAAGTCAGCATTGATGGCAATGAGCACTCCACCACCAGACTTTTTATTACAGAGTTGAAAATTCCTGTCGTGCCGGAATACATTAAAATTGTTTCCAAAAATTTCTTCGCTTCTGACGCTTTCGTCCCAGCTTGTTTCAGTTCCAAGAATTATTTGGAAAGAAGAAGATAGAATGTTCTGGTGGATTTCTTTCATTTTGGCTGGGCTTTTCATGCGATTGAAATTTTGGCAATACACCAAAATTTCAGTCGCATTCTGTTGAGGAAGTGAAGAGATTTTTGGAGGGTCAGTATTACTTACATTTTATTAGTTTGGTTTCCCGCGCATTCACTTGAGATTATCTTTTCAATTTTAATCTCAAGCTGAGTAAGTATAGGGGCATGCAGAGCCACGAGGGCCAACGTCCCGCGAGAGGGTGCATAGACACAGCAAATTTATGTCATCAAGGGGAAAACAGAACACATTCGACTTTGGACTACAAACAGCTGAGTGGACATACGAGACGAATAATGCCCTGGATCGGTAAAAACAAAAAAATCATTTTTATGCAAGGTTGCACTTCAAATCTAGGTGGCGCCGGAATGATGGGTTAGAGTCATGGGGTATATGAAATAAATCTTCTTCTTTCCTTTATTTAACGTCGGTCTCTGTTCCGCAATCTAGTGCCAATCACCGACGGACATCGATTGCCACCCATTCAACACACATGGGCCGGGACCAACGGATTTACTTCCCTTCCGAAGGAAGACGTGACCAGAGATTTTTCTGCCTCAGAAAAATCCCACCGACCTCGACTGGGATTGAACCCAGACCCATTGGGGTGTTAGAAAGCAGTCACGCTTACCACTACACCACCGGCGCCGGCTATATGAAATAAATGAAGAAAAGAAAAAGAAAAGATCGGTGAACGGCGGAACATTGCGAAAAAAAAATATGCACACGACGCGCGCAGCTAGGGAGCAAAGAGAATGAGAGTAGAGAGGGTAAGAATGCCCAAAGAATTATGTACGTAGTAAATAGGTTTAGGATAGTATAAAACAGGTTGATTAAATAATAAACGGAGAAGTATTCTCCAACTCGAAAAAAGGTTTCGGTAGTCGCGTAGGTTCGGACGTGAATTATTTCCGACTTCGAAATCCTAGTAGGGAAGGGGAGTAGACTTCAGTAAACACAGATGGACACACAGGCTAATACCGATTCTATCGACATGGGTGAACAGGAAGCATGGAGAAGTCAACTTCCACTTGACGCAGTTTCTGTCTGGTCATGGCTGCTTCAGGAAGTACCTGCATCGCTTCGAACACGCAACGTCACCCCTTTGTCCGGAGTGTGGCAACGTGGACGAAACGCCGAAGCACGTGGTTTTCGACTGCCCAAGATTTGAGGCAGTGCGAGTGGAGATGCCGACCCTCAGCGCGGGAAATGTCGTCAGTGAAACGTGCCGGGATGAGAGGACGTGGAGCGTCGTCAGCAGGGCAGTGACGCAATTTTTTTCGGAACTGCAGCGAAAATGGAGAGATGATAAGCGAGTTAGCAACGCCGGCTAGCTGAGCTAAAGAGAAGTGCTTGAGCACAATTGAGTTCTGCTGTCGTTCTTTCCCACCACCACCGATGCTGCTGATTGATTCCGTTGTCGCTTGGAGGACCTTTCACTGCTGAGTAGTTTCTTGGTTTCAGACTGAAGCTGTTATCTTGCCACTGTCTCGCTACTGTTCCCGCATTGAAAGAGTTTAGTATTAGTTCTTTTCAGGACTAGGCATAGGAAAAGTAGACGAGTGAAGAGCATAGATAGTTCAGTGCATCGTGGCTAGTGATTATTCCTCGAAAGGTCCTCTGTGCCGTTCGAGATTGGAGCTGGTGGATGTCAAGCATCCAGTACCCCGCTGTCCCATCGTAACGTTGGCTGGTGGAGCCAACAGATCTCAAGGCTGCTTTTGACCTGGTTGACCACGCTATATTACTTGCTAAACTTGAGAAGCTCTCCAGGTTTTATCCGGTGGTCTACTCAATCGATTACTTCAATGAAAACCAAGTTTCAACAACTGAGTGAAAAGTTATTTAACAAAAGAACAGTTGGTGTATAAAACTATGCATGCCAAGTATAGTAGAGAGTATTGTTATCACTTGACCATACCGAAGATTTTTATTTCATGTTTATAAAAGAGTTTTTCTACAAAATATAAAATATAACAGTAAGCTTTGAAAAAAAAACTTGCTTTAAAAGCGAGTGAACAATTGATTTTTTTTTATGTTTTATGTTAAAAAATGAAATAATTTCAAAGGAATTACACATGAACGGGGTTATTCTATTTGTTAATTGTTTGCTATTCCGTCTGCCATCCACCGAGAAAAGTCAAAGCATGTCGATAAATAATAGGTACTGCGAATTCTGTACACTGATCTATTCGTTCTACAGGTATGTTCTTGTTTTCATTTTGTTTTGCCAAGATTGTTCTCAACTATCAGTTCATGAAAGATATAATGTAGATTTTGTTAATGATTTGTTTAATTATGAATAAGGGCAAGCGTACCAGTTATGCATATACGTTCTTATTATGGTGTTTCAATTATGGCCTATGGGAACTTCAAAGGCCATAATAGGAACACATCCATAAAAGGAACTTATATTCATAACTAATACACCAGCCTTATGCTTATCGTACATTATACATTATCCATTGTACATTACATCAACTGCCTAACATACATTTCATAACCTGCCTAAACCTTACATTACGCACCAAACTCTCAGTCTTTGTTAGATTTACTATCGAATGGTAACATGTAACGAAACCTACCATGGTACTTGAAACTTGCGACAGATAATTCCGTCATTAGTTTTGCACAACCATATAAAAAAATTAAAACGATCGTTGTGAACTCCATGATCACAAAATGAGAAATCGATGAACCAATTTCTAGCCACGAGCCTTTGTTCTTGATAAGGTAGAAAAAATTCAGGCACATCAAATCACATATGATAAATATCAACAGAAAGAGAGTCTGCGCTTTGACCTGGAATAAAAAGAAAACATTTATAAAAAAATTAGATCTTGCACAGTTATTTATATTTTTTTCTTTTATTAACGTCGGTCTCTGTTCCACAACTGCGTAGGATATTGCACCCATTCAACATGGGCCGGGACCAACGGCTTTACTTCCCTTCCGAAGGAAGACGTGACCAGAGATTTTTATACCTCAGAAAAATCCCACCGACCTCGGCTGGGATTGAACTCAGACTCATTGGAGTGATAATGCAATCACGCTTACCACTACACCACCGGTGCCAACTGCTTCCACACTTGAAATAAGAATTTAAAAAAACCTACTCAACACACATGTTGGACAACAGTTTATATAACATTTGTATGACTGATTCAAGTTGAATAACAGTTTACTTCACATAATTCCATGAATTTGCGTAACTTGGGTAGTTAATGCTAGATTTTAAGAGATTTTTCAAACATCTCGCATAGCTGGTAAACAACTACGTTACGTAATGTTTGTTGTATAGTATAAACTAAATCAAGAGGATAGTTAACGCGCTGGTTAAAATAAAGATAATGTTTGTTTTATTTATATCTTCGCCTTTGAACGTATATGAACATTTTGTATATGCACATTTTAAGCAAATACCTTATATAAACATTAAACCAAACGCGCCAGCCAGTGTGTTACGTCAATAACAGGTGAAACATTCAGAGAGCTGTTACCTCACCTGAAGAAACGAGTCTGGATTAGGGCTGGGGATAATATGAACTTTAATTTTTTAGTGGTAATCTAACTGCTGCCTGTAATTTGTTGTAATATTATATAAGAATATAGGTATAATACCCGTTAAAAAAAAACTATAAAAAAATATATCCCATATAAATGTGGACCAGTCTAATCCACAGTGATCAATAAGTTTAGTTTTATGTGATACACCTCATGGCACCTATAGTATAACGTTGAAATGTTTATTTTTAAACTGGTATCATAAACAAAAGGATTATTTTTAGTGCACGAGACTAATACGGCACGAAATGCACAATAGAATACAACATAATTAGTACAAACTAACTGTTCCAATACGAGGACGAGGATAACCTTGAATTGTTAAAACTCACTAAGAATATTAAGGGGTTAAGTCACTGTAGTTGGTTCAAAAGATGGATTATTTTTGGTCTTAAATGATAGTTTGGCGTCTAAAGAATACGGGACAATTGGTTTTATACCCGGGAACACTTTCTTTCGCATTAATTGGGGTGGAGACTAGGACCTTCGCGCTCCCGGCATGAAATTTATCTTTAATCGCGTTTTTCTCGAAACCATGTTTTTCAAGTCGGGCAGAAACGACAGTCATATTTCTAATTGATTAATCGACCTGCTATTTTTGTAGCTTGTTCTAGATATCACCAAAAAAAATCACGAAATTGGCCCTTTTTTCAGCTTATATACTGGCCTAATCCCTTAAGCAGAGCCACGTCAATTAACAATGTTACGAGCGGCTTCTTTACAAAAACAAGCATTATAAGAAAGTAGACAATATGGACCTAACTTACCTTTATGATGATCTGCAGCGACCTCAAGACACAAACTGATATTAAAATTGGAACCAAAAGCTTGAATACAATAAGTCCAGTCATGAGGAAGGGTGAGAATGTTGACACAAGCAATCGTACCCAGTTTGGATCAAATGAACTGACCGTGGCTATGTTTCCAGTGCCAAAAAATGAAACTAACATATACAATACCTACAGAACAATTATGATTTATGAAATAATTATTTAAAAATTGGATAGGATAAACTTTTACTCACAAACGTTATTGAACGCCGAAAATCATCAAAATCGACAGGTTTGAATGTTTTCAGTCTACTAGAGAAAAACAGTTTCGATATCTGTAATGTTAGAAGAGTAAAATTAAGTTACATTAAATATATGTCATCACACTGATATTATGCGTAGACCTTGACAGTACCTGTTCTTTTTGATTGAAGATTTCATTTTCCGATTGTAGCCAAATGAATAAACTGATGGAAAATACCATTAAAAATAATGGTTCATACGAAAGTGATAGCATCAGGAATGGCCCAGATAAATTGACAATTATGGCAGTGAGCCGCGACGTTATTGAAACTGTTGTTAATAATGGTACAATTAGTGACGCAGCTGGAAATAAGAACAATTAGCTTATTTTATCAACCGTATAATGATTTGAAACATTAATTAAGATGCAACACAATTATATGTTGTGATGTGCATTATTATTATAACTATGAAGTTAAATTCAGTCCGGTTTTAAAGAATTAAAAAAAGAGGTACGACCGTAGATTTGACGTAGGATAACGTGCTCGGTATCAACATTCGGCGACTGTGTTAAGGAAACCACTTTTTCCCATCACGGAAACGTCTCGTTTTCTGATGACATGCACTTTCGTGCACAAAACGCACGGATTTTTTGGTTAATTCAATAGATAATAACAAAAAGCGACAATTGATTCGAGGAATTTCCATTCACGAGATATTTGCGATCAATCATATAAATTCGAGTTTTTTTTTTGTTGATTTCTATCATCCTGGAGGAAACATTACCTTAATTCGAAGTGTGTTTAATTTACAAGGTCATGTGGTATTCGGTCATTGCGATAATTTTTATGTACCACTATAATACTGCTACGCATTTGGGTACATTATCAAAGAGCTTTGGGGTGATGTGACTGGCACTACATGGCGAGCGAACGTTCAATGAAAATTAACTCTTAAGGCTAGCGAGCTGTATGTTGTTTGGAACGAGGGTGACGCGCTTGGCATAGATGGCCCACGACGAGCAACTAAATCTGATCAGTGGTTGAGGGCAGCCTTGATAGCTAGCTGCTTGCGGGGAGACTTTTGTTGTGCGCTAGAGAACACCACCACTCACCTGACCTCATCTGATTGAATAAACACCGTTCGGTGAGACCGGATTGAATTCAATTTTAAAATCTGTGTTAGGGAAAGCGCTTTTCGCAGGCAATCGGTGATGATTTTAATTATAATTATCATAGCAACAGTTGCTCATTCGTGCAATTTTCAATAATGATATTTTGAAAAATGATAGTCTTTATTTTAACAGATCCGTAGAAAAATATCCTATCGATTGGTGTATAAAGAATTAAAATACATCAATTCTGAATCAAAATCAGACCATTTTCATAACGCCACCGACTTTGGTTTTGAAATTGCACCCCAATTTAGCCTTAAAAATACATGGTATGTTAGATTTAAACAAATGTGAACTGACATCCGATTGATGACCTTGATAAATGTCCAGAAAATACTCTTTAAAAAATTTATGGTGGTCTTGAAAAGGACCGTTTTGTCGTAATGCTGAGGGTGTTAAACACAGATGATACAGATTAGGCTGCTCTAGTAACCAACAAGCCCGTTAATCGCCCTTTTTGCTATATAAGGCTGCTATACAACTGATATAAAGTTCGGAAACCCTATATTTACCTTATATTGCAAAAAGGGCGATTACCGGGTAGTTAGCGGGCTCGGTGAATGAACGCTCACGTGGGCTGCAGCTCTCTGCTTGCGGGCAACCTTTCGTTGTGTACTGGAGAACAATATACAACGCCACGCGCCGAAAGCACTGCTGCTGCTGCTGATGATGATGACGACCAACCGGACACCACCACACATGGTGATTGAATAAGTACCGTTCAGTGAGACCAGATGAAATTCGATTTTGTAATCTGTGTTAGGGAAACCGCGTTTTGCAGGCAATCGGTGATAATTTTGATCATCATTGCAACAGTTGGACATTTGTGTAAGATTCAATAGTTACATATTGAAAATCAATAAATTGTTCATTATAGCTGATTCGTAGAAAAAAATCCAATCGATTGCCTTTTTGTTTCTCCCACACCGCACCCTACCTATCGACTCATCAACTCAAGAACCGGGGACCAACGGCTTTACTTCCTTTCCGAAGGAAGGCGTGGATCAGAGATGTTATGCCTCAGAACATCCCAGCGGTGCCAACTGAGATTGAGCCCAGGCCTGCTGCCACTACACCACCACCAAACACTTATAATCGATTGTCTTGTTTAGAATTAAAATCCATCCGCTATTGACAGAGCTATATGTGGTCAAAACCTGATCACTTTTTGTAATGCGGTTGATTTTGTTTTTTTTTTCAAATTACACCCCAATATGTTGCCGAATGACGTAATCCTACGTCAAAAACGTTATTTCCATCAATAAGTAACATAACAAGCAATCCATAAGATATAACAAAAATGAAGGAGAGAGGGGAGATAATTTTTCACAAATACTCGTGACATGCAATGGATGCTCCATCAGAGCTTGCTCATTTATAAATTTATTGGGAGGAGTGCAGCATGACCATTTCCTCTATGTTATATAGTATATCATGGTTCCATGATTTAAGAAATCTTACCAATGAATGCCCATGACATAGCCTGGTTCAACCAGCTTAAAACCATTCCAGTTTCAATGATATGAATTGAAACTAGTGTGTTAAGTGCCAGCCCCACGCAAACGATGAATTGAATCCAGCGATAAAATGCGTTCTCTTGAGATTTTCCAGTGATTATAATATTTCCAATCGTCCATAATAGGGTGCTAATTATCCTGAAAAAATACGATATCAATTAGATTATATGAAATTTTAAAACCACCCGGTAAACTTACAGCAGAAAAGGATGGTTTGAGTCTTTTTCCACAACTGGTAACATGGGAAAAACAGCCAATATGATGTTGCTCAAAATTATGGAGAATAATAAAATCGTATGTTTATCTCTTTGGCGCCTCAAATGATACGTCAAATATAATGCGTTCACAACTAAAAAAATACTGAGAACGCTGCGTTGAAAGAAAGCCACCACCTGAAAACAAAATTCACATTAAATATAAACAAGTAAGGATAAGCTAGAAGTACGATCGCCTTGTTTTACGCTCCATTATTTTGAAATTTATCCCGTTTTTCTTGCTTAGTGATTCTTGGCATAGTTCCCTGCTGATTAATTATCCGAAAGTGAGTTTTTCTGAGAAGATAGTGCGATTTTCGGCATTATCGGACGAAAAGATTTATCTTTGCGTTTGGTAATTCGCAAACCAATTTGCACATCTGGTCGCACATACCTGCTCACGTATCATCATCATCGAGTGTGAGCACCCGTCTCTACATCTACATCGTTCATTCATCATCGTGTGCACACAAGATGGGAAATGACAGGTGGGCAGGAACTCACGGTCTCCCAGTGTTGGTGAGTTCTTTGCCGTTAATGTTCACGAAAAGTTCACTATTTTGCCATACAGAAATTCAAAACAAAAATTTTTATCTGCGGATTTGGACTGTTTTTGACCTGTTTCGTACGGCCGAAAGGTGTATGCTGGTCACAAATGCCGTGCCAAACTGATTTCCTACTCAATTAATCAATCTTTGATGTGAATTTCGCTAATAAACACGAGGAGCATTTCTTATAGCAAACTTGCCATAACAAAATGGGCATGGTTCATTTTAGTAAACAAACTAACACTTTTTCCGACTGTGGCACCTCTCTTACTCGCCTGGGTGTGTACAGCTAAGTGCCGAGCCTCATTCAAGCACACCACACGAAGATCGCCCTCGTACGCGCATCAAAGATTTTCCACGCTGTGCTTCTATTGTGTAAACATCCGAACATATAACGCTCGGTTACTACCAGTTACTACTAGTTGAGACTTACTGAACAGTCCGTAACTGGCGACCAGCGCTTCCTGAAGGCGCGTCTAAGGGACCCGAAAATTATGGACATTGTTCGGACCTACCTCTCCTTCCTGCATGACCAGCCATCATCAACATGTATTCGCGGAATCACCAAAACCAGTGCTATTCTAATGCTAGCAGCTGAAGGACTACCAAAAGACAGAAATCTCCTGCACGAAATTTTCCTGGACGTCCATGAAGAACTTGAAATTACTCGAAACGACGCCTTGGCAGACCTGCAATCCTACCGTACATTCCTGTCCAGTGAACGCACGCAACGGCTACAATCTACTAGGGAGGCCGCCCTCAAATTTTACAATCCTGTAAATTTTCAACGCCGCTGACGCACCTTGAGGAAGACTCATTATTTCTATATAACGATGCTCGGCATGAGACTGAGGTAACTAATAATAACAATGACCATACTTTATCAACCGACGTATTTCCAACAATTTCTTCACACAGACAGAATGCGACTGAAATTTTGATTTACTGTCAAAATTTCAATCGCATGAAAAGCCCAGCTAAAATGAAGGAAATTTATCAACATTTATTATGCTCATCCTTTTCGGTCATTTTGGCAACTGAAACAAGCTGGGATGAAAGCGTAAAAAGTGAAGAAATCTTTGGAAATGCCTTTAATGTATTCAGAGACGACAGAAATTTTCATGCAACACAGAAGAAGTCAGGTGGTGGAGTTCTTATAGCTCTTTCGGCCAATTTTAACTCAGAAATTATCTTTACACCAAAATTTACAGAATTTGAGCATATTTGGGTGAAATCACACATAGCCGGTGAAACGCACGTGTTCGCCTCAGTGTATTTTCCACCAGACCATGCTCATAAAAGCACTTATGAAGCCTTCTTCCAAAGTGCTGAACAAATTCTATCTGACCTTCCTCGTGAGGTTAAAGTTCACATCTATGGAGACTTTAATCAACGCCATGCTGACTTCATTCTGGACTCTGAAAATGAATGTATCTTACTCCCAGTCGTTGGGGATAATGAAACATTGCAGTTCATTTTTGACAAAACTGCTAATTTATGACTGAACCAAATTAACCACATCAAAAACCAACAAAATTGCTATTTGGACTTTTTACTAACGAATATTTATGAAGATTTCTGTGTGATCGAATCATTAAATCCACTGTGGAAAAATGAAGCGTTTCACACAGCAATCGAATATTCTTTATTTATGCATGAAAACCAAAGACCCAACGACTGCGAATACGAAGAAGTCTTTGAATACAAATTAGCAGACAACGAAAAAATAAAATTTAAATTAAACAGTGTCAATTGGCAATTAATTTTAAGGAATGTAGGAAATGTCGAAATTGGTATAGACGTGCTCTACAAAATTTTAACAGAAATAATTTCGGAAGAAATACCTTTGAAGAAAAAAAGACGTAACAGAAACACACAAAATCCAGTCTGGTTTAACAGACAAATAAAAAACTTGAAAAATCGGAAGCAAAAAGCACATAAAATTTATAAAAAACACAATAGTAGTAATAATTTATTAATTTATTTGGATCTATGCGATCAACTGAATTTAGCTATCAGTACTGCATTTGAAGAATATAATGCAAAAAATGAACTTATTCCTGTTCAATTTAGTATCAGCAGTGTAATTAAACAATTATTACAGAAACAAACATTAAAAACAAAACCAAAAAACAATAAACATAAAGTTAGTCAAACTTACAATTTAAGAATAATATTCTTAAAGAAAACATAGGGGAAATGGCTCTAATGTTGGCCGATTGATCTAAGATTGGGCCCATCGCTAAAAATCTGCTGTTTATTAATTTTATTTAGATTAACGCGTCATTGGGACGGAACTAATGGATATTTTTGGTCGCTGTTTAAAATTTAGTCGATTGCTGAATTTATGTATGGGCCCAAATTAGGGGCATTCAAGCCAACATTACAGCCATTTACCTTATATGAGTTTCATAAACTCCAGATCGCGTTTACCCAAAATATGCCGAACTGGAACATTAGGTTGCACGCTATGTCTGAAGGCATTTTTTTTGCATCATTCATGTACCTCAGCTTTTCTTTACAGGATGTAAGAATTGATCCTAACCATCACTTCTGAGATGGTTTAAAATATTTCATCTTGGATTTTTGTTTTTTTTTTTTTGAGAAAAAGTGTTTAGAATTTTACAGAGCCGATTATGAAGGCTCATATGGACTATTGACCATACAAAACTATGCCGAATTAAACAAATGCAAAAATAAGGTTCAAAAATTGATTAAATTTAAAGTTATTAAAGAGTTCTAAGTAAGATAAATATTGATTATTTCAACTTTGCGCAAAATCAATTGATATTTGTTGGAAGCACAACATCTTCTTTAATTTCTCTTCGGTAGCACAATTAATCACCAATAAAAAAAAAGCGAAATGAGCAATAAAAAAAATCTCAAATTGGCCACTAAATACTACAGTAGTGCACCAATAAACAAATAAAAAATTTGTAATAGAAATGAAGAAAAAGGCAACAAACAAATAAAAAGCTTCTTTTAATAATTTGAATGTGAGCGGGAAAATGACAAAAAGGGCAATAGCAAATAGAATACGCTCAATTAAATAAGGATGAATCTCCACTAAATTAGGATGTTTGAGAACTAAATAACTCACCTACGTCACCTGCAGTTGAACATATTTTCCCATAAAAGTGGCAAAATGAGCAATGTCATATTGAATAACCGCGATAAAAGAATCTAAAATGTCCCACACAAAGCGCACAGTTATCACTGTTTAAATCCAAATATGCTGTAAAATCCTTTTTTTTTTTTTGGTAATCACAGTGGCAGCAACTTGCTAAAACTCTACACTGGACCCCTTTTATTGATAAATTTTGCTTCTATGAGCCTCTATTTTAAATCAACCCACAGACGTTCCTAGGCTATGGTGCCCGTTTGGTCACTGTTGTTTTTGTGCTGATCCAAATAGTTTTGATAATATAATTGCGCATTCTTGTTTTTTTTTAAAGGTTGATTTTTGTCCCAGTCTTGTCTTCTGTCGTCACTTATTTTGTCATTTTGTCTTGTGTATTAACCCCCACTTGTCTTGTTTATTTGTCAACTTGTGTCTATTGTCTTTCCCCATCTGTTACTCTGTCATGACTAATTTCATTGATATATAAAAATAGTAATATCAATTACAGGATAATATGGTTATTTCTCGATTACTTTTTCAAAGGGAAGCACCAGCTCCTGCAAACAATGCATCCGATCGTCGATCCGGCGCAACTGGCAGCTCGCACACGCTTATCAACACCACCAACAGGTAGAGGAAAATTTCCCCTATCTGATGATAGTGCCAGCCCGCGTGGGTGAGCCACCAGTTAAGCCAAATCGACGACCAAACGCACCGCCTACAAAAGCCGATACGCTCTCTTGAAAAAGTTATCGAGATTTCTACTAATTAATGAATTATTGACAATTACCTCTCATGATCTTTGGCTCTGATCTTAACTTACCACTTTTTGATTATTTATCAAATACCTCTCCCAGAATATATAACTCCCCGATGCCTTGTTGGTTTCTGGTCTCATTTGGATTGGTCCTGAATTTGTTTGACATCCTGTTCGAAGTAATTCTTTGAGTTCCAGCTTGTACGTGTCTCACGTCATATGATTCGCCATTCATAAAGATAATGGGTTAAAAGGGAGTAAAACATAAATGCTAAAGGTAGATTAGCATTAGTTGTACTTGATCCAAACAATAGAAAGAAGCATAGATGACTTAGTAGAAAAATAAAACTAATATATAACTAAAAGCGCAATGGATAAGTGTTAGTTCCGGGATCATTTTAGTGTTAATAGTTATGTTAGTTTTGATCCGTATTCAGCCCTGCCGGCCCCTCCAGCACTATTTGCAGCAATTGTGATAAGATTATGCGACACTGCTACTACTACTATGTTAAATGTATGACTTGTCAATTTTCGCAACGCAATATCTTTCCATAAATCACTCAATCAATTTGATGTTTGAAAATTTTCTCAAAAGGGCTTTGTTGACACATCATACCTTACCGAAAACTAAAGCACAATAATCCTAATTCTTATTTCAAACCTATCAACATATTTAACACAACGGCGCCGGTGGTGTAGTGGTAAGCGTGAT